AGTCCTGGTGTGGCGCTGTGGGCTAATGTGCTAGATGGCAAAGTCGGTTTGAACCGCAAGGTTGGTGGTTGAAGCTCACCAGTCACTCCTTGGAAGCCCTATACAGGGTTGCTATGGGTTGGAACTGACTCGACGGCACTATAACAACAACAACATTCATCATTATTATTACTTCATCATGATCATGATTGTACCAGTATTGTTGTTGTAAGTTAGTCTGCATTATTATGTTAAAAATATTTTAGTATATCTGCAAGTGTTTCATTAACGTTTTCATGCATTGAAAAGCACACTACATATGAAGACAAACATCCAACTAACTGTTGGATACATACGAGCTGTACCTAACTATTCCAACTTAAGCATAAATGTCACTCAAAGTCAGATTTAGTAATGGAGCTCATTCATAATTCAGAGGCTGCCTGGACATTACTGGCCCAACATTCACACGCCCATTTCCACATGCTCGTTACCAAGCACCTCCATTAACCCCCCGGGGCCAGAGAGCATGGTATTTCTCAGTACTGTGACAGCAGTACGCCTGTCACAGCTAAAGTCACCTGTCCACATGCCTGCCTCCCACCTCCAAGGGCAGGGAGGGCTTCTTGTCCACCTCGGAAGTATCCACAGACTTGAGTACGGCTCTGGGAGTAAGACTGCCAATTCCAGCTCTGAAGTTGCCATCATTCCCACCCCTGCCCCCAAGCCTACTAGTCCTATCTACTAGTCATAACTAATACTAACTGCTAGTAATAGCTAACACTTAATTGGATCTCTCGCCTTCCATGTGGAGGCCTGTGTGTTGCTAAGATGCTGACTAGGTTTCAGGGGATCTTCCAAACTGAGAGACTAGGAGGAAAGGCCTATAGACCCACTCCTGAAAATCAGTCTGTGAAGACCTGGGTCTGGATCACAACTGAATTGATCATGGGGACGGCACAGGACCGGGCAGTTTCCCCGTCTGTTGTACACAGGGCTGTGCGGCGTAGGACCACCTCAACAGCTGAGTCCCTGCAACATTCACAGAGAGCTGAGGCTGCTTCAGACTGTGCGCTGCCTCACTGGGCCTTTCCGGTGCCAACCAGAGATAAGGACTAGGGTCCCAACTTAGAGCCTTTGTGTAGGACAAAGTGGAACGGCTCAGAAGGGTTTCCAAGGCCGTAAACACAAGCAGACTGCCTCCTCTCTCTCCCATGGAGTGGCTGCTGGGTTTGAACCACTGACTTTTTGGATAGCAGCTGACACCTAACCACTGGTCCACTAGATCTCTTGCATGCATGAACGCTTCGCCTGGGTTCCTCATGAGAGCCGCTACACCAATGTGCCAGCAGATGAGGGCTCAACTCAGAACACCTTGCCCTGCAGGCTCCGGGTCCCCCAGAGGCACACTGATGACCGGGTCCCTCAGAGGCACACTGATGAAAGCACTGCCCCGTCTCCACAACCCACCTGCTGTGCCTTCTGGAGACATTGGGAAACTGTCCCTCCTTCACGGGACAGTTCTTCAGATAGATCCCTAACCACAGGGATCATGTCCCCCTCAGGACCCCCCTCCCTCCAGCCGGGCACATCCAGAACCAGAAGAACGGCTTCATTTAAATAACAGATTCGCCAATGCCTTCATGATACAATTACAGTTACTCAAATTCGATTTACACGCCCAATTCGAGGAACACATTTACAGGAGGTGTCGTAGATTAAAAGAGCAGGGTGACCCTTAATGAGATTTGGAGATTTCACTTCATACCTACCTGAAATTGACATGCAAATAAAAATGGGCTAGATTCTTGGGTCAGATTCTCAGTTACACCCTACTGAACACATCAGTCTGCCAGACCCACAATACTGAGAATACAGCACAACCTGTCATAGAAAAAGCTCACAGTTCCAGTCAACTCCTCAAGATCTGAATTCTCAGAAAGTCACCTCCCAAACCAACCGCGCCGACTGATTCATTATTTTCTCTTTAACCAGTGTTAGGTTAGTGCCGGACCCAAGTCACTGGGTTGTTTCCTTGTTTCATCCAGCATGTACATATTTTTCACACACAAACAAAATAAACTATGTATTAAAAAAATATTGATTTGCCTCTGTTTAAGTGAAGGTTTAATTTAGCACAACCCTGCAATTCCAGGCTGGAAACCTGGGAATCGTTTTAATATCTTACCCCCATCTCTGTCTCTCTCTCTCTCTCTCTCTCTCTCGAACAAATAAATCTATCTTCTAGGGAGTCTATTCTCAAAACTACTGGAGGGAAATCACTTATCAATTGCCAGTGTGCACAAAGAACTGGGGTGGTTTTTCAAGGCTGGTGAAATCTAATTGCTAACTGTTTACACAAATAACACATCGAGCTAACGAAACAGAAGCGGAATCTGGCGTATTTCCAAAGACCAGCCTCGCCAGCCTCTTATCCAAAAGCAATAGGAAGAAAGTCAACTTTCAAATGATTTGAGAGAAAGGTCTATTTTCATGACAGATGGCAACGAGGGTTCTTCAATGCCAATTTCATCGCCTTCCTTCAATTTTCAAATGCTTTAAGTCGTAGCTCCAAGTGTTTGCGCAGACGCCGCGGAGTCTGCTGAACCGGAAGGGGGCAGAGAGGATGACTCATGTGTGCTGTGGTCTCACCAACTCCAAAGAGGCATCTTAGGACAATTCAAACCAAGTTAGCAAAGCACTACTTCATTTCACGTACTGTGGATGCATTATCAGAAGGGATCAGGCTTTGGAGAAGGACATCATGCTTGTGAAATAGAGATGGACTTTGTTGTGGTAACAATGGGCTCACACACGGGAACGATTGGAAGAAAGGACGGTGTGGGACCAAGGACTTTCCTTCTGTTGTATGTGGGGTCGTGGTGAATCAGACCTGACAGTTTTAGTAGATACTCTCTCTCGGACATTGACAAAGCTGTGTTGTGAGTGCTGATCTTATGTCACAAACACACAGACTGTTGTCAACACAAAGTGAAACTTGTATTATCACTTTGGGTCAATTGCGCACCAAGTTCCAGGATGAGTCTCTGAGGCTTTCAGCAGGGACTTTTGAAGCTACTGTTCTTTCATCTCACCCATCAACAGAGGTTCACAGGGTGGACGTTACTGCCCACTGGAATGGTAGAAAAGTGGGCATCTCACTGCCACCCGGCTATGTCTGAACTTGAGTCTTTTTCAGGGAATATTTGGGTAATGACTTGGTCCCATTTTTTTACGTTTGAACTGTAAATGTATTTATGTTTTCCAGCTGTGTTTTTAGTAGGCTTGAAAACTTCTAACCTAGCGAGGAAACAGAGCTAGACAGATGAGTCATGACAATCCTCATCTCTGGGGCTTCTGTGCCGGAGGACACATCTCAGTGCCTCTGGAAACTAATACGTAAGCTTCCCTGACCATTATTTGCGGTAAAGCGACTCCGGTATGAGACTGCTAAGAGTTTTTATTCACAAACTCAAGCTGAACCCCTAGCAACCACGTGGGAGACAGAGGCATCTTACTGCCAATCGAGGTGTGTTCAGGACAACACGTCACCGTAACCTGCTGAGCTCCATAGCAAGGCCTTCTTCAGCCCACGGCCACACGTGGACCCGACTCATAGCCACCAGAAGGACACAGTGGCATTGCCAATTTGCAGAAACAGATGGCCACGTCCTTGTTTCAAGTGTCGGCCTTTTGGTGAGCAGCTCAGCACTCGGGGCTGTGCCATTGGGGCGCCGTCGGGTGGTTCGTCTGCAGAGCTGTGTTGGGAGGACATCTTGTGCATGTGTGAAAGTAGCAGCTGGCATCAGAGACCCCATGGGCATCTGTAGCAAGGGTGCTGCTCACTCACCTGAAATTGGTGATTTTCTGGGGACAGTGCCCCCACTCCACACACCAGTACCAAGCCTTTTCCACCCTCCTCTACCCCTGTGCCAGGTACCTAACTGCTCCACGAGAGTCGCACACAGGAGTGTGTGCGAGGGGCAGGACTGATCACAGGCCTTGGCTCTACCTGACCAGTAAGGGCTGTGCCTGACGCAGCTTCAAGGTTCAAAGTCCGCTCTGAGAACCCCCCGAGATGGTCTAACAGTGCCTGTCCCACGCCAAAGAAAAGGAACACACAAAAACATTAAATTAACCATGTTTTCCTTTTAATAAGGGTCTTTAATCAAAAGTGTAGCTTTGAAAATCTCTATCTTGTTGGGAGAACCAGGCAGGCCAGGAGCTGCCTACGTCTGGGCACCGGCCCCTCGGCTCTCAGACTCTCGTCAGTGCTTCTGGGAATCAAAGGCACCTTCAGATCAGAGCCAACGTCTAAAATGGGGGGAAGATGCGGCCCCTCACTTTGATTCCAGGAGAAAGGACGGGTCTGAACACAAGGAAACCAAACACAGAAAGCAACCAAAATCTTTAGAAATCACGGGTATATATATATATATATATATATGTGTGTGTGTGTGTGTATATAGATTTTTTTTTTAATATATAATTAGGATTATCAACATTTAAAACTATTAAAAATAAGGTTGCCACCTTACATTTTCTTTTGGTATCGGGGTGTTATTTTTTTAAGGAGAAGGGGAAAAAAAAAAAAAAAAGGAGCGATTTTGCCCAGAAGTTAAAGTGTCTTCATCTCAACTCCATTTCCTGCCGTGCAACTTCCCCACCTTCATGCCCGGCACCCCGAGTCCTGCCACGTAACTGGGACCCTGCGAACGTCCCCGGGAAGGAGAGACGCTGGCCGGGGGAGGGACCATTGGGCTCCTACACAGGCCCCCCCTCCCCTTCGCCGTGGCCACTGGGCTGGTTTATGTCGTTTAGAAGTAAGATGGCAATCTTACTGGAAAAGGGAAGCTAGATTTTTAAAATAACTTAAAAAAAAAACCTCATTTTTTATAGAAAGCAGCAAAAACATATTTTCCTCTCGACAGAAAGGAACACGTCAACACGGGGACAGAGCGATGAAGTGGACTGTCCACCAGCTCCGGCTGGACCCAGTGCCCAGCAGGGGCAGTATGGCCTCAGGGCTGCTTGCCCGTGGCCTGGCCATGGCTGGAAGGAGGTTCTTTGGCATCTCCAGGCACCCTAGGGCGCTCTTCTGGGCTGGAGCCTCCCTTTTCTGGCCGCATCCCGTGGGGGGCCGAGTCCCGGCCATTGACCAGCCCGTTCTCCGCCGCCTGGACTCTGCTGACTGCCTCCTGCCCGGCGCCCTCCTGCTCCAGGTTCCTCAGGACCAGGGGGAGCCCTGAGTCCACCACCCCGCCCTCCAGCAGCCCCAGGGCGCTCTCCTCGTGCCGGGGCAGAGGGGCCCGTTCCTGCAGCTGTCGGCGGTAGAACTCGCGGTTCCCGGCGGCAGCCCTCACTGCTCTCTGCAGGATCTCCTTCTCACCCAGCCGCAGCTTGATTGCCATCCTGGCCCGGACCGAGAGCTCATGACCCTTCAGGAAAGCCTTGTCTTCCTGGAAAACAAACACGAGGCAACTGCATGAGAAGCAGCAGCGCTCTGGGGGTGATGGGCACGTGACAGACTACACGTTACCTGACTATAGCCCTCCAGGAAACTGGACGCTTCACAAGGGTGGGCTTTTACTGAAAGTGAACAACAATGCAACATAATGGCTCAAATGCAAACCAAGGAAGCAAACAGTGCTCTGGCCCGTGTGACAGTGTGAGAGACCCTAGGGAAAGCAGCCTGTCTGCTGTGCTCTGAGGAAGCCCAGGGGCCCGCACCTAGCTGGGTGCACAGGTGAGGGGGTAGGGCGTGCCAGGGATGGCTGCTGTGGGGGTAGATGGGGAAGTGGCTGGGTGGGTGGGTGGATGGATTGATGGATGGGTAAATGGGTGGCTGACTGGGTGGGTGGATGGGTGCTGTGGGTGGGTTGGGGGTAGACAGGACAGGTGGGTGCATGGATGGACAGGTAGTTGGCTAGATGGGTGGGTGGACAGACGGCCATGTGGAGGGCTGTGCATGAGGGGGTGAGTAGATGGTGGCTGGCTGGCTGGCCAGGCAGATGGACAAGGAGCTCAGCAAGGAGAATTTGAAATCAGTGGTTCAACGGTGAACTGGGAGAGCACCAATAAAAACTGATCTTTCAGGAAATTTCAAACCTTCGTCTTTTAATGAACAATGCATCCATATTAGGATTTTTGGGTTAGTGTAATCAGCATTTTAAGGAGGAGCCATGACGGGGCAGGGACTAAAGAGTCTGATTGCTAACTGGTTCAAACCCACCAAGCGTTCCACAAAAGGACAAGAACGACGCAGTCATCTTCTTCTGTAAAGACGTCAGCCCTGGAGACCCTTGGGGGCAGAGCCACTGTGTCGACGGGTCACTAGGAGAGGGAACCAACTCTAGGGCAGTGGGGTTTGGGGGAAACATCTTTCAGGGGAAAATATAAGAGGGCTTCCAAAAGTTTGTGGGGAAATTCCATTATCTTTTTGTGCCATTTTCCATGAACTTTTGGAAGCCCCCCATGATGCATTTGCTAAAGTCATTTATATGTAGGAAGAACTCTCATATTAGCCATCTTTAAAAACAGAACACTTGTAAATCCCCACGGATTTCCTCTCCTTACCTCAATAGTTGTTTTATAGGTTTTTAAAAGCAGCGATGCTCGGTCTTCAAGAAACGTCCACAGTTTGACCTCATTGTCCCAGCTCACGGGAAATTCCGAGTTGCCCAAGGTGAAGATTCTATCGATAACGCTGTCTCCTAGCAAATGCTCTCTCAGTTCTTCTACAAGAAGTCAACAGCAGTGTGTTAGCAGGGAAACGAACGTACTTCTCACCTGAACCAACAGACCACAAATCCACCTTAGAAAGCGCCTCTCCCAGCACCGCCGTCGGCTACGTTACTCGCCCTCCCTGCGGCACCAGCTGGGCTATTCTGGACTCTCCAGTGCAGAGGTGCTGCAAAGTACCGGCGGGTGGGTGGGTGGGGGTCTGAGAGGCAGCAACATCTCGATCTGGGATCCAGATCAAGTCTTGGTGTGGTGTTTTGCTGAGGGAAGCCAAGAGCTTCTCAGCAGTTTCCCCAAATACTTTTTAAAGCCAACCGAGTTGGTACAGTCCCGCCTGGGGCAACATCCTTGTCAGCCCTGGGCAAAGCCAGTGAGGTGCAGCGTGGACACAATACACACATACGCCGGTCCCCATGGACCTTCTCCCTGGACACCTGACTGGGTGACTGACCGCAGCTCTTCATTGGGGAAACATCCGCCTGTGTCTCTCAGTTGTCAGGAATTCAAACAGGAATTGTAAGTGATCTTCTCAGTCACCTGCCAATGTGTTTAAACAGCAAACTGTTCTGCAAAGACTCCAAGCACGTGAATCTTCAAAAATGACCCAAACTTGCCGGTCCTATTCATGTTCAGGAAATATACCCCAGCTTCTGATGCAAATATGAAACAGTGTCTTTTTCAGAGCAAAATGCCTCCCAGCTGTCACTGTTTGCAACCCAAACACAAGGACTCCGGCTGCTGGCAAGCCCAACTTCTTCTATCCATACTAGTGAGAATCATTCAAAGAATGCATCCATTGTCTTGACATGACAAATCGTCTTTCTATGACTAACCAGAAATCAATGGCCCTAAAAGGATTCAAGTTGGTTTTTGGTGTCTTTTTTTTAAAAAGAAACTATAAACTAACCTAATGTTCAAAAGAGAAATGTACTGAGTCATATCAGTTAGGACAAAATCAGGGTAAGATTCCGGATTGTCAGATTTTGATCCTTCTGTCTGTGTCCTTTGTATAAAGTGGTGAACAAGAGCGGGGGGTAGGGGTGGGCCTGTCCATGTTTTCCCTTTCATGTTGGGAAGCTCAGGGGGTGGGCAGTTGGAACTTTCATTCTCTGCCACTTGCCAGCTGGGGAACAGAACCCGCACACGGGAAACGCGGGGTCTCTCAAGGGTGGGCAAGAACACAGGTTTCTCCAGTCCACAGCCTTTCTGTGCTTGCTTCCAGCAGAACTTGCACAGACGGCCGCACGGTCTCCGGTCTCCCTCGTCCACCGTCTGGCCCACCAGAGGAGCACATGTAGTCACCTTGATGACAGCAAGGACAGAAGGGCCACTCTTCCCTCGGCTAGGAACGTCCTCCCCACCTCAGGCAAGCCCAGTAGGGGCAGCCCCCTTCTCAGAACTCCTGTGGACGGTTTGGGGCCCGCCCATGGACTGGGCTGTCTGCAGACCAGCACCCGAGGCTGTGTGGGGCCCAGGAGGCTGCTGAGGACTACAAGGAAGCATGCGCCATGTTGCGCACATGCCTGGCACACAGTGGGTGGTCTACAAATACAGGGAGCCTGGGTTGTGGTCTCTCCTGTCTACACTGCATGCAGGAAAAGCCCACATGAACCCACACACTCGGGTTCATTAAACTGGATGGATGAGCCACCTGCCAGGGCACAGAATCCTCTAACAGGCCACACTTTGATGACCGTGATTTATCTACAGCAAGACGTTTACATTAAGGGGCACTTCGCTGGGTTCTGGAGGTGGGGCTTGGATGGCTGCCCTGTGTTTGGGGGCCAAGTGTCTTCTCCTTCTCTCCAGAATACTAGTGGACCCACCTAATCACTCGTTCACTCACTCCTACCCAACCAGTTCCGCTCAGGTGCACACACACAATTTACAATGGCACCGCAGGACCAGGGAACCTGGATGGGTGCACTGTAGGGTGACACACACCACCAGGTCAGATCGTGTTTCAAGAAACCCCAAACTGCGTGCCATGCACAAGTATGAGGACCACCGCTCTGTGCAGGTATATGGCCGCTCTGCCTGAGATGCAGGGACACTCCGTGTTCCCACAGTGCCGGGCATGAAGTTCACTGCTGATTTCCAATTCAGAATACGGAAGGAAGGCTAACAAGTGGAGTCACGTGGCTAGTCCGTGTCCTCCATCGCTGACCACAACTTCTCTAGGGAGCGTAAGGGGCTTCAAGCTGCCAGCCTTGGGTCACAGCCACCTCAAAACGTCCATCTACAGGTGGGACTCTGACTCAGCATTCTTCTGATCCGGGTCCGAGAACACCAACATCTCCCGTGCAAACACTGACAGGGTCTTTAAACCATCAATTTTGTTTTCCCCAGTTTTGCCACCTAAACTCCTTCCTAGAAAGCGCTCGCGTTTTAGGCCATTCTCGTTTTCATCTGAATCCCCAGGCTTGAAACATCCAGGAGTTAGCAAACACAAATAAATTAAATTAAAAGGCACTATCACATCCCCCAGTCGTTTGAACCACAAGGTCGGTGGTTCAAGCTCACCATCTGCTCCTTGGAAACCCTATATAGAGTTGCTATGGGTCGGAATCGACTCGAAGGCACTTAACAACAACACCACATACCCCCACAAATGATTTACCTTCGGTCATGCAGAAGACGCGGAGAAAGGCCAGGAGCTGGGCAGAGATGGGCGGATCCGTGAAGTGCAATGCAAACACGCTGGAGCTGACAAAGGCAGGAAGCGATATCAGTCAGTCAGCCTGTAGTGGACCCCTCCCTAAATCCGCAGCCCACATGCATAGCCGCCCTCAAGGAGAGCAGAGCTGAGCCCAGTGAGTCATTCCGTCTCCTCAGCTCAACTCTGACAGTGCGGTGCTCAGTCCTGGCCGGTGCAGAAGGCACGGGCTGCAGAGCTTGGGGGCCGGGCCCTGGCAGTAGCCAGGCTGCCAATATGCCAGTCTTTCCTCTCATGTAATAGCTCCTGTCGCAGGTTGTATATAACACGCTCAGAGAATGACACATGCCCACGGAGCTTCAAAACTCGTCATCTCAGAGTACGTGGGGTTCACATTTTAATCATCAGTCAAATATTGACAAGTTCAACTTAAAAAAAAAGAAAAAGGCCCAGCGAATCCATTTTCCATCCCCTGGAGAACCAATGAATCACGGCTCGTGCCGTCTTTATCGTGTCACGCCTCTAAATACAAGAACGTCTGAAGGCACGGGAGGCAGAAGTTCCTGAAAGTGCTGAGGGTCGTGAGTTCGTTACAGAAACGAATGGTGGCAGCAAATTAAATGAAACAAATTGATCCAGGCCATTAACCTTTTCAAGGTGAAAGGCATCTGTGCTACCAGGGCACGTATTTAAGGTAATGAGGGTTTCAGGCTGTGCCCCCTAGAACTGACTTGAGCGCTCCCAACGACGCAATTATGTTTATCGGAGAATGTGCCCAAGTCCCCCGGAGTCTGCATGGCTTCAATTTACTGTGCAGCAAGGGTAAAAGGATTAGGACAAACTGCCGTAGAGAAGTTTTATTAACACCCCAATTAAACACTGTGCTAGTGGAAATATGTCAGGCAGCCCAGGAAAACGCTGACCACTTGTGTGCTACGTACGTTGGGATGCCGGCGCGAGCCAAGACCTCGGCCTTCATGGCGTAGAGCCGGTCACTTTTACTCACACCGAGCTTGATTTTCACTCTGTCGTGCGAATTGTTGTCAAAGAAGAAGCCACTGTGGATCACAAACTCTGCATTTGACCGAGTGCCGTAAAAAATGTAAATCTGAGGTGCAGCAGAGAGAAAAGAGGGGCGTAAGACACTCTGCATCCATTCTCCTGACAGAGCCTGCTTATTTCTTGCTACGTCACACAAATGAGCAAACAGCCACGCAACAACTCTGCACCTAAGAATTCCAGGGGTCAGAGCCCACCCCGCGGGCCCCGTGTAAGGGTGCCCAGACCAGATCTGCACAGGCAGGCAGTCTCTTCCTCTCGTGGAGCAGCTGGTGGGTTCGAACTGCCAACCTTGTGCACAGTGCCAGGGGGAAACTTCAGCAAGGTGTGTAATTTTCCTAAGTCCCCAAAGTGTCTGAGGTGGGGTGGGCAGGGTCCCTGTTCCACCACAGCGTGTGGGGGGCGCTGGCTGATGGATGAGGCCGGACAGGTACCCAGAGGACCTTGGGTTCCGGGGTCTTTCTAATCGTCTATGTCTTCCAGGGGGCAGTAGGATTTCCCGACTAAGGTTACACCACTAACATTCGCCAGATACCCCTCCCGTTCCTTTTCTACTGACCAGTCACTCTAGAGTGAGAATTTAAAGCAGTGACCACCAGAGATCCAGTCTAGGTCCGGTGGTGACGCTGCACCTTTCGGGAAGGCTCATCAACTGTCCTGCAGGTCTAACACGTCTGAGACTAACGCTCTGCGTTTTGTTTCCACTGGACCGTCTACAGTCTGTTTCCGGTTTCCTTTGTGTCCTCTATACCTGCTCCCGAGACTGTTGGATAGGACGTAGGTCTTTACAGACACACACGCTCCAAACGTCACGAAAAGCCTCTGCCCCCCGCCCCAGTGCAAGTAATCCGAGACGACCATTCTGAGATTCCTGGGTATGTCCAAGGCAGAGCTGTCCTGATTCTCACGTGCTCCTGCCTCTATTAAGACTATACTGCCCTCAACCACAGGGGAAGAAATGACAACAATGCCGTCTGTGCACCCGACAACTTTGTTTTTGTGTTACAACATCTCTTCCTAGTTGGCAGCGTTAGAAATACTGGGGACTCAAAGGTCCAAATACTTTGGGGACTCAAAGGTCCAATTCAAAGCATAATGCGTTTAATACCGCTCCCAGAAAACCAGCATTCCTAAAGAGAAATCCCACAGGAAGCTGTCCAAGTTAGGCACCCTCCGACGGTGACGCACCTGCTCGCCAGCCCTGAAGTCCCGTAGGGCCACACACTCGCAGCGGTCATCCTCCAGGTTGTAGCCAGTGGTGATCTGGTGGAGAGAAGAGTCAGGGGTGTTCGTCCGGCAAGGGGAGGCGCAAAGGTGGCCAAGAGTCCATTTCAAGGGTGTGCTCTGGAGGGTTACCACACAGAGGAACCGCAGGACAAACAAGAGGCTCCTGCTCCCATCAGAAGCCCCTTCTCAGCTACCTGGCCCTGGGAGCTGACACCGGCTCACACTATGCTAGGGAATCAGAGATCTAAAGGCAGCAACATGTGTAGCTGGGATCCCAGGGGAGAGTCCTTTTGGTGTAGGGAATGGTATTTGTGGATGGCAGTCCAGGGACCGCTGGTCTTTTGTTCCAATATCCTAAGGCCAGCGCTAACAACCTGCCACATTTCTCATCTGCATGGACCACGTGGGAGTGCACTTGATGACCACGAAAATGCAGGAACGAGAACTAAACCACGGCAGGCACTCTAGCAGGATTTCCTCACAGAATTTACAGACTGGATTCCGATTAAAATCAGCTCCAGGAAGTTAACTTTCTGACCCCAAAGCATCACCCTCACAGCCAAGTGTGGAATAAGGCCCTACCCTTCACCAAGCACTCTCAGCAAAGTGTGGCCACACCGACAGGCAGAAGCAGGTAAACAAGGGAGGGAGTCCGGGGAAGGATGGAGGGAAGGAAGTTAGGGAAGGAGATTAGGAAGAGGGAGGGAGGGACAAGAGTTGCTCAGTCTTCGGTGGAGAAATCGTTCCTATTGTTAAGTGTAGTCAAGCTGCTTCTGACTCATGGCCACCCTGTGTAAGGCTTCCAAGGAGCAGCTGGTGAGCCTGAACCACCGACCTTATGGTTAGCAGTCCAGTGCTTGTCCTACAGCATCACTCCCAGGAGAAATGATTGGGTGGGTGATTAGATATATTTTACAGGTATTTCCTACTCGTGGTAATTTCGGAAGCCCCCTCGTACACCAACTATTAGACTAGGCAAATGTCTAGAGGCCAAGGTGTATCCGTGGCAACCAGGGGCTGGGGAGAGGGTGCTGACTCTCTGTGTGAGGCTGATCTTGCTATGTGTCCTTGAGTCGGTTCTGACTCAGTGAGCCTATAGGACAGAGAACTGCCCCAGACGGTATCCCCGGCAGTCATCTTTACCAGAGTAGAGACCACGTCTGTTCTGTCATGGAGCAGCTGGCTGGTGGTTTGAACTGTAGACCTTTCGGTGAGCAGCCCAGCTTAACCACGGTGCCCCCAGGAAAACTAGTGGAAACGGAGCAGTCTGGTTGCTGACATGGTGGCACTGACTGACACCACTGGACTGGACACTTAAGATATTCTGCTACACCTACCTACTTACTGAAATTTTACACAGTGTCTGAATACACACACACAGGACCAGGGCTTGGGGCACCAGCCACCCTCCCGAGGTCCGACCTGGGGGCCTGCTGGTTGAGGACAGGAGTCAGGACCCTCAGGCCCTGCGGGTAGTGAACACTTTGAAGGGAAGTCATTCACTACAAATGAGGAAGCAAGCACACATCAGTTCGTGCTGACTTGGCCCTCTGCATGTGCTCGAGGGGCAAGCTGTGTGGGAGCCTGGGGCTGGTCCCATTCTACAAGGCCCCAGAGCCCCAAGCAGGCCTGAGGTGGGGGCAGTAAACTGGCAGACTAGGACTCAGGCCCACGTCAGCCTGGCTACTTTCACAACAATCTACTCTTAAACGAGCTCTAGGGGGTATCCGAAGAGAGGCTGAACTGAGGCCCTTGCAGTTTCAGCAGCCTGGAACTCATCCTACAGTGTGCCACACCAAGACACCCAAGCACTGTAAAAATTCCCAACATTTCAGCATGCACTCGCTGGTGTTTAGTGCTGCTGAGTCGGTTCAGACATTCATAGTGACCCTATGTAGGGTTTCCGAGGAGCGGCTGGTGAGCTTGAACTGCCAACCTTGCAGGTCAAATTGACCTTGCGGTCCAACACATTAACCCACAGCGCCACACCAGTATGTACTAGCACCACATTAAGTTGCCTCTTACAGTGGCCATGGCGTTGCCCCAGGGCCCCTCTGTCTGCCGAATCAGTAGTGCTAAATAGGAGGCCTGCACCTACCCAGAGTCCAGGCAGCTGGAACGGCTCCTTCATGCACATCTCTGCAGCAGGCACAACAACACATCAGCTACACCAGTCACACCACACCAGTCACACCAGTCACACCATACCAGCCACACCAGTCACACCATACCAGCTACACCAGTCACACCATACCAGCCACACCAGTCACACCATACCAGCTATACCAGTCACACCATACCAGCCACACCAGTCACACCAGTCACACCATACCAGCCACACCAGTCACACCA